TGGCGGTAAATATATACTGGAATTTTTTTTTTATATAACAGTAATGTTGGTGAATTGAGTAACTGCCACTGATAAAAAGCACTGACACTATACTGCACCGAGCAGGAAGGGGTTAACATCTGAGGCGATCAAAGGGTTAACCGTGGGCTATTTAACATAATGTACTGTGTGTTTTACTAGGGAAAAATGCCAGTACTCTTGGTGCCGCCCTCTTCTCTGGATGTCCCCTTAGCAAGCCAATTGCTATGGGGGCACGCATTCAGGTTTGACCGTAAGCTTGGCTGTGTGTGTCAACTGACACAAACAGCATGGATCGGCCTAATTCCTCCCTCGCTTCTCACATTCTTTGACTGACAGCAGCAGGCGTCAATGACTCCCACTTCTCTTAGTGTAGTGAGTGCACATAGAGGGGTGAGAGAAGACAGGCAGTTGGGCACAGTGATGGATTAATACAGGACTTAAGGTAAAAACATTTTAGCTTCATAACCACTTTAAGGATATGGCAGCCCACTTTTATTGAAAAATGCTGTCTTGGCTCACTCAGCTTTTGGTCAAAGCCCCTCGCTGTACAGGCCCACACCTGGCCTCCAGATAGGGTTCCCCTAGCACCACAGGCTCTCTTACACTCCCATAGACTTCCAGACTCCCTCCAGGCCCCTGGACACACTAGCTGCCTCAGCTCTCTCAGTCTCACAGATTCTCTCTTGGTCTCCCAGAGCCGTCCTAACTTTCCCCATCCCCTGCCAAGGAATCCCTCCAACAGGGTGTGCAGTCTCCAGCAGGAACACACACCTGTCTTCTGAAAGGCCTCTGTCTGCAAAATTGGAGGCCTGAGCTATCCTTGGGCTTGGCTTATAATGACCCTGCACACCTGTGTACTCACACAGGCTGCTGGCCTTCAGCAAAACCCAGACATTGGACTGAAGATTCCATCCCACCCAAGGCACTTTATAACCTTCAAACTTGAGGCCCCAATCTGGGATTATAAAGCGTAAAACACATCTTTCTGTGCTCATAACAAATACTGCAATGCTTCGCAAATTGTAGATTTGAAAATCCTTTGTAATTTCCACATCCATTTCGTAAACTCACACTATGGCAGAGCCTCATACTGTCATATATTCCCTCCTTTGTTTCGATCCAGAGGGCAAAATGTAGGAGCCCATCACTTTGGTTGGGGCACCTCTGCGCTGGCTGCCAGCTGCATAGGCCCAACCTTTTTCTTGGTGTGTTTCCAGGTACACGTTACCCTAAATCTCAATGGGATACTACTGTTCTCTAGACTTAGCCTTCTCCTTCTGCTGACGGTGTCTCTGGGCCAGGGGCGGATGGACCATTTGGAAACTTGGGCACTACCTGAGGTGCCCGGGATCAGTAGGAGGCCCCATGAGATGCCCCTGGTACCTTTTTCATATTCTTTTTTGAGTTTGGGCAAGGACACAGGGGCCCCATGATCCCCTATTGCCAGGGGGCCCCATGAGTTGTCAGTCCGCCCCTGCTCTAGGCTTATCCTCATCTTGTGGGGGTGCTCTGGCTTCCTGTTTCCTTTTACGAAATCCCTGTCCTGAAACTGTAGGGAACCCACTGTGCTTAACGCAGAGCCACTTTCCCCACTCATTTGCATCAACTTCTACAACTCTCTATGTTCTTTTGAGTTCATCAACCCTTTTGTGGCTACCCTGTGCCACCAAAACTTCATTCATAGAAACATTCAATAATACATAACATTTTTCACATTTACCAATACCATCAGTACCTTTTTGCATAATGTCTCCGGGTACCATAACTTGTACGTCTTTATGGATGACAGAATTTCTGCTATTGCCTTAAGCCCAGTTCACACTGCTGTGACATCTGGAGCAACTTGCTGCGACCTGCCACACAGAAAGTCACAAGACAAGTAAAAACACATTAATTCAATGGGTGACATTGCTGTGACTCAAGTTGGAATGACAAAAAAAAAATAGCTCTTGCACTACTTTTCTGCATCTTGAAGCGACATGAGTGCCATAGACTGCAATGTTAAAAATCACAAAGTTGCGAGGTAGTGGTATCTTTCTCTCATCTTTGCAAAGTCACTAAACATCAAAGTCAAACTTTAGTCGCATTGAAGTTGCAATAAATTGCAAGCAAGTCGCGATGGACGTCAGCAGTGTGAACCAAGCCTAAAAGTCCAAATAAACTGTTGAAAGTCGAAACAAAGAGTCAAAAATAGTCACAGTGATCTCCCACCCTCACTCCTTAAGTAGGAATCCAGTGAAGTTATCTCCACTTGATACACTTGACAAAAAATGTGTGTGTGTGTGTGCGCGCGCGTGCGTGTGTGTGTGTGTGTAGGGAGAGTCGTAGCTAAAAGCAAAAACAAAAATGTAATATACTGCAATTTACCAATCCTTACATCAGACACCTGCATTAAATATTTCAGGCTTTTTTTCCTTTATTTTCACCTGGTGATCCTGTGAAAAACACATTTCCTCTCCCTGGATCATCACCTAGGCTGTACTACAAAAATTAGTCTGCCTTTCCTCATATCCATCGCTTGAGGGATAGGGGGGTTAGTAGTTTATTTATTAAAAAAAGTGTATTCTTTCTTTCAGACCAGCTCACAGGAAGTAAAAAGGACACTGACTTGCTGGCAAGATCAATGGGCAGGGGAGGAGTGTGGAGGGTATGAAGGTGGGCAGTATGTACAGGAAAGGAGTGTGGAGGTTATGAAGGTGGGCAGTATGTACAGGAGGGGAGTGTGGAGGGTATGAACGTGGGCAGTATGTACAGGAGGGGAGTGTGGAGGGTATGAAGGTGGGCAGTATGTACAGGAGGGGAGTGTGGAGGGTATGAAGGTGGGCAGTATGTACAGGAGGGGAGTGTGGAGGGTATGAAGGTGGGCAGTATGTACAGGAGGGGAGTGTGGAGGGTATGAAGGTGGGCAGTATGTACAGGAAAGGAGTGTGGAGGGTATGAAGGTGGGCAGTATGTACAGGAGGGGGGGTTAGTAGTTTATTTATAAAAAAAAGTGTATTCTTTCTTTCAGACCAGCTCACAGAAAGTAAAAAGGACACTGTATTGCTGGCAAGATCAATGGGCAGGGGAGGAGTGTGGAGGGTATGAAGGTGGGCAGTATGTACAGGAAAGGAGTGTGGAGGGTATGAAGGTGGGCAGTATGTACAGGAAAGGAGTGTGGAGGGTATGAAGGTGGGCAGTATGTACAGGAAAGGAGTGTGGAGGGTATGAAGGTGGGCAGTATGTACAGGAGGGGAGTGTGGAGGGTATGAAGGTGGGCAGTATGTACAGGAAAGGAGTGTGGAGGGTATGAAGGTGGGCAGTATGTACAGGAAGGGGGGGGGTTAGTAGTTTATTTTATAAAAAAAAGTGTATTCTTTCTTTCAGACCAGCTCACAGAAAGTAAAAAGGACACTGTATTGCTGGCAAGATCAATGGGCAGGGGGGGAGTGTGGAGGGTATGAAGGTGGGCAGTATGTACAGGAAAGGAGTGTGGAGGGTATGAAGGTGGGCAGTATGTACAGGGAAAGGAGTGTGGAGGGTATGAAGGTGGGCAGTATGTACAGGAAAGGAGTGTGGAGGGTATGAAGGTGGGCAGTATGTACAGGAGGGGAGTGTGGAGGGTATGAAGGTGGGCAGTATGTACAGGAGGGGAGTGTGGAGGGTATGAAGGTGAGCAGTATGTACAGGAAAGGAGTGTGGAGGGTATGAAGGTGGGCAGTATGTACAGGAGGGGAGTGTGGAGGGTATGAAGGTGGGCAGTATGTACAGGAAAGGAGTGTGGATGGTATGAAGGTGGGCAGTATGTACAGGAGGGGAGTGTGGAGGGTATGAAGGTGGGCAGTATGTACAGGAAAGGAGTGTGGAGGGTATAAAGTTGGGCAGTATGTACAGGAGGGGAGTGTGGAGGGTATGAAGGTGGGCAGTATGTACAGGAGGGGAGGGTGTGGAGGGTATGAAGGTGGGCAGTATGTACAGGAGGGGAGTGTGGAGGGTATGAAGGTGGGCAGTATGTACAGGAGGGGAGTGTGGAGGGTATGACAGTGGTCAGTATGTACAGGAAGGGAGTGTGGAGGGTATGAAGGTGGGCAGTATGTACAGAAGGGAGTGTGGAGGGTATAAAGGTGGGCAATATGTACAGGAGGGGAGTGTGGAGGGTATGACGGTGGGCAGTATGTACAGGAGGGGAGTGTGGAGGGTATGAAGGTGGGGCAGTATGTACAGGAGGGGAGTGCGGAGGGTATGAAGGTGGGCAGTATGTACAGGAGGGGAGTGTGGAGGGTATGAGGTGGGCAGTATGTACAGGAGGGGAGTGTGGAGGGTATGAAGGTGGGCAGTATGTACAGGAAGGGAGTGTGGAGGGTATGAAGTGGGCAGTATGTACAGGAAGGGAGTGTGGAGGGTATAAAGGTGGGCAGTATGTACAGGAGGGGAGTGTGGAGGGTATGACAGTGGGCAGTATGTACAGGAGGGGAGTGTGGAGGGTATGAAGGTGGGCAGTATGTACAGGAGGGGAGTGTGGAGGGTATAAAGTGGGCAGTATGTACAGGAGGGGAGGAGTGTGGAGGGTATGAAGGTGGGCAGTATGTACAGGAGAGGGTGTGGAGGGTATAAAGGTGGGCAATATGTACAGGAGGGGAGTGTGGAGGGTATGACAGTGGGCAGTATGTACAGGAGGGGAGTGTGGAGGGTATGAAGGTGGGCAGTATGTACAGGAGGGGAGTGTGGAGGGTATGAAGGTGGGCAGTATGTACAGGAGGGGAGTGTGGAGGGTATGACAGGTGGGCAGTATGTACAGGAGAGGAGTGTGGAGGGTATGAAGTGGGCAGTATGTACAGGAGGGAGTGTGGAGGGTATGACAGGTGGGCAGTATGTACAGGAAGGAGTGTGGAGGGAGTGTGGAGGGTATGACAGTGGGCAATATGTACAGGAGAGGTGTGTGGAGGGTATGACAGTGGGCAGTATGTACAGGAGGGGAGTGTGGAGGGTATGACAGTGGGCAGTATGTACAGGAGAGGGAGTGTGGAGGGTATGAAAGGTGGGCAGTATGTACAGGAGAGGAGTGTGGAGGGTATGACAGTGGGCAGTATGTACAGGAGAGGAGTGTGGAGGGTATGAAAGGTGGGCAGTATGTACAGGAGAGGGAGTGTGGAGGGTATGACAGTGGGCAGTATGTACAGGAGGGGAGTGTGGAGGGTATGACAGTGGGCAGTATGTACAGGAGGGGAGTGTGGGGGTATGACAGTGGGCAGTATGTACAGGAGGGGAGTGTGGAGGGTATGACAGTGGGCAGTATGTACAGGAGAGGAGTGTGGAGGGTATGACAGGTGGGCAGTATGTACAGGAGGGGAGTGTGGAGGGTATGAAGGTGGGCAGTATGTACAGGAGGGGAGTGTGGAGGGTATGAAGGTGGGCAGTATGTACAGGAGGGGGGGTTAGTAGTTTATTTATAAAAAAAAGTGTATTCTTTCTTTCAGACCAGCTCACAGAAAGTAAAAAGGACACTGTATTGCTGGCAAGATATGATGGGCATGGGAGGAGTGTGGAGGGTATGAAGGTGGGCAGTATGTACAGGAAAGGAGTGTGGAGGGTATGAAGGTGGGCAGTATGTACAGGAAAGGAGTGTGGAGGGTATGAAGGTGGGCAGTATGTACAGGAAAGGAGTGTGGAGGGTATGAAGGTGGGCAGTATGTACAGGAGGGGAGTGTGGAGGGTATGAAGTGTGGGCAGTATGTACAGGAGAGGAGTGTGGAGGGTATGACATGGTGGGCAGTATGTACAGGAAGGAGTGTGGGGGGTAGTTTATTTATAAAAAAAAGTGTATTCTTTCTTTCAGACCAGCTCACAGAAAGTAAAAAGGACACTGTATTGCTGGCAAGATCAATGTATGTACAGGGGAGGAGTGTGGAGGGTATGAAGTGGGCAGTATGTACAGGAGAGGAGTGTGGAGGGTATGAGGTGGGCAGTATGTACAGGAGAGGAGTGTGGAGGGTATGAAGGTGGGCAGTATGTACAGGAAGGAGTGTGGAGGGTATGAAGGTGGGCAGTATGTACAGGAGGGGAGTGTGGAGGGTATGAAGGTGGGCAGTATGTACAGGAGGGGAGTGTGGAGGGTATGAAGGTGAGCAGTATGTACAGGAGGAGTGTGGAGGGTATGAAGGTGGGCAGTATGTACAGGAGAGGAGTGTGGAGGGTATGAAGGTGGGCAGTATGTACAGGAGAGGAGTGTGGATGGTATGACAGGTGGGCAGTATGTACAGGAGGGGAGTGTGGAGGGTATGAAGGTGGGCAGTATGTACAGGAGAGGAGTGTGGAGGGTATAAAGGTGGGCAGTATGTACAGGAGGGGAGTGTGGAGGGTATGAAGGTGGGCAGTATGTACAGGAGGGGAGTGTGGAGGGTATGAAGGTGGGCAGTATGTACAGGAGGGGAGTGTGGAGGGTATGAAGGTGGGCAGTATGTACAGGAGGGGAGTGTGGAGGGTATGACAGTGGTCAGTATGTACAGGAAGGGAGTGTGGAGGGTATGAAGGTGGGCAGTATGTACAGGAAGGGAGTGTGGAGGGTATAAAGGTGGGCAATATGTACAGGAGGAGGAGTGTGGAGGGTATGACGGTGGGCAGTATGTACAGGAGGGGAGTGTGGAGGGTATGAAGGTGGGCAGTATGTACAGGAGGGAGTGCGGAGGGTATGAAGGTGGGCAGTATGTACAGGAGGGGAGTGTGGAGGGTATGAAGGTGGGCAGTATGTACAGGAGGGGAGTGTGGAGGGTATGAAGGTGGGCAGTATGTACAGGAAGGGAGTGTGGAGGGTATGAAGGTGGGCAGTATGTACAGGAGGGAGTGTGGAGGGTATAAAGGTGGGCAATATGTACAGGAGGGGAGTGTGGAGGGTATGACAGTGGGCAATATGTGTAGGAGAGGGGGAGTGTGGAGGGTATGACAGTGGGCAGTATGTACAGGAGGGAGTGTGGAGGGTATGAAGGTGGGCAGTATGTACAGGAGGGGAGTGTGGAGGGTATGAAGGTGGGCAGTATGTACAGGAGGGAGTGTGGAGGGTATGAAGGTGGGCAGTATGTACAGGAGAGGAGTGTGGAGGGTATATGACAGGTGGGCAGTATGTACAGGAGGGGAGTGTGGAGGGTATGAAGGTGGGCAGTATGTACAGGAGGGAGTGTGGAGGGTATGAAGGTGGGCAGTATGTACAGGAGGGGAGTGTGGAGGGTATGAAGGTGGGCAGTATGTACAGGAGGGAGTGTGGAGGGTATGAAGGTGGGCAGTATGTACAGGAGAGGAGTGTGGAGGGTATAAAGGTGGGCAGTATGTACCGGAGGGGAGTGTGGAGGATATGAAGGCGGGCAGTATGTACAGGAGGGGAGTGTGGAGGGTTGAAGGTGGGCAGTATGTACAGGAGGGGAGTGTGGAGGGTATGAAGGCGGGCAGTATGTACAGGAGGGGAGTGTGGAGGGTATGAAGGTGGGCAGTATGTACAGGAGGGGAGTGTGGAGGGTATGAAGGCGGGCAGTATGTACAGGAGGGGAGTGTGGAGGGTATGAAGGTGGGCAGTATGTACAGGAAGGGAGTGTGGAGGGTATGAAGGTGGGCAGTATGTACAGTAAGGGAGTGTGGAGGGTATAAAGGTGGGCAATATGTACAGGAGGGGAGTGTGGAGGGTATGACAGTGGGCAGTATGTACAGGAGGGGAGTGTGGAGGGTATGACAGTGGGCAGTATGTACAGGAAGGGAGTGTGGAGGGCATGACAGTGGGCAGTATGTACAGGAGGGGGAGTGTGGAGGGCATGACAGTGGGCAGTATGTACTGGAGGGGAGTGTGGAGGGCATGACAGTGGGCAGTATGTACAGGAGGGGAGTGTGGAGGGTATGACAGTGGACAGTATGTACAGGGGGGAGTGCAGAGGATATGTTGCCAGGCAGTATGTGATGGAGAGGAGTGCAGAAGATATGACAGAGGTCAGTATGTGTAACAGGGGAATGCAGAGGGTACTATAATGGACAGTATGTACAGGAGAGGAGTGTCGAGTGTATAACATCAAGCAGTGTGTACAATAGTGGAGTACAGAGATGTGTGTAGCCAGGTGCAAGCTACTGCAAGCCATATTCAGAAGACATAATCCTTGGGACCACAGACCAACTAGTTCCCCTCTAGTGCTTGCACTCAGACCATTACATCACTTCCTGACTATAGAGCAGTTGAGTTCCTCTTCCTGGATTAGAGCAGAGGATCTTGGGACCTGTAGTCCTGCGGTCAACCATGCCTGTATTTCTAAATCCCTACTAGACAACGCACTTCAGAAAAAACTGCCTGCGAAAAGGACTGTGTAAGATGCTATATATTAAACTGCTTCTGGTGGGCTCACTCTCTTGGGCCACGGATGGTTGGGACTGTGGCCCTCTATAGAGTAGCAGTGCACTGTTGTGGTCCTGCTAGCTACAGCAGCATTACACACCGTGGGCCTGCATCCTGGAGCACAGCTTATGAGACTGGGTGTCTCCACTGTTCTTCAGCCCAGGGCTGCCACAGCAGGCCCCAACAAGTATTCTGAACCTCGCTATACAGTGGGCCTCCATCCCAGGTGAACTACAGATCCTGCACCGCATCTCTTGTTTCCGCGGAGGTTGCCTTTCAGCCAGGCTTGGTGAAAGGCTGGATGCACAAAATCCCCCATTCTGTTACTCCATGGCATGGAGACACTGCATGCAGACATCAGAATCCAGGAATTGTTTATATTGCCAGTCCAGTCTTGCATCTAATGATCCCTCAGGACTCCAAAGATTCACTCTTCATTCCTGATCTCCACCGTGCCGGTGAACATACCACCTGCCTCTAAAATCTGAACTGCCCACATATTATCATTATTATTATCATGTGCAGTGCTAAATCTGAATTGCATTTGCTAATCAGTTAAAGGGGGTGCTTAATAGGTCAGAATCTAGAGTGTCAGAAGGGCTGAGGAGTTGACAGGGTCAAGGCAGCACCAAAGGGCAAGCATCACCTAGCAGCTCATATGGGTGTAGTACCCAACATGCTAGAAAGTCGGATGAAGGGTATAACAGCAGGTAGTATGTGCAAGAGAGGACTGTGGAGGGTGAAATAATGGGACGCATAGGCAGAAGGGAATTGTGGATGGTACGACAGCACATAGTATGTGAAGGAGAGGGCTTAGGAAGGTAGAAGGTACAGTTGACTATTTAACTCAAAAAAGGTGGTTACTGATCTTTCCATAGTTGCCAATAAAAAAACACTACAAATACAGTATCTGGTCCTATCCATACAGGTGAATGACAAGGACAGGAAAGTGTATTGCATGTGGAATTTGGAATCCATTCACAAAACTGACTAATCATAGCATGGGAGCCATACACTTCACATAAAAGGTAATGGTGGGACAAGGAGATCCAGTGTCCAGAACAAAGATGAGAAACTGCACCAACACCAGCACTGGGTGGAGAAGGAGGATGTGCCCGAGTCAATAGAGGCACACATTAGTGTATGTAATGCTTAGGGTATGCTATGAAATCGTATCAATGTTTATGGTACACTAAAGCAAACTGAAGAGTTTAAAATTGATATACAGATATGGGGTTATCAGTGGCAAAGGAAAACATGCCCCTGGGTTGGTTTCACTGAAAGAAAAATGTTTCCCTGTGTCAGTGGTGGCACTAAAATGAATTAGTGTCCCTTTGTTGGAGGTGTCACTGGAAGAAAAAATGCCCCTGTGTCTGTGGTGTTGCTAAGAGGAAAATGGCACTTCACCAGTGTTAGTGGGGAAAAAATGACCCTTTGTCAGTGGTGTTGCTGAAAGGAAAAAATGTCCCTGTGTCTTCTGTGCCACTGGAAGTCAGAAAATGCTCCTGCATCAGTGGTGTTGGCTAAAGATAAAATGGCAATGCATCAGTGTCAGTGGTGAAAAATATGTCCATGGTGTCGGTCTACAGAAAGCTAAGAAGTGCATATCATGCAATGCACAGGGCTTAGAAGAGTATATGACTGTCAGGGCTGGGCTACTGCTACTTAACGAGCAGCTCTCTTCTTTGAGTGCTCAGAAGCTGCTCAGCTGTTGGTTAATTACCAGCCACTCATTGTCTCCACAGTAACTCCCCTGGATACCATTACCTGTCTCATTAGTCCAACCTACAGCCAGCCTTTTTTGCTATTTTAGCAGCTTAGCTCATATCTTCCTTGTCCTTGCATGGTCTATGATCTCCAGTGTGTTCCTGTCTGTATTCCTGTGTACAACTTAGTATGGCTGACTTCTCTTCCAATTCCTGTTCTGATTTTTGGCTCCTGACTACACTGACTTCTGGTTTCCTGATCTGACTTGTCTGTTTACCTGCTCTGGCATCCAAACCCTGGCTTCTGTTTAGACTAAGTTCATGTTATTTTTGCTATTTTATTAAAGGTGTGATTTTAAATGCACTTTCTGTCACCTCCTGGTTTATGGTTCCTAACAACCACACAGGGCTTAGCAGTATATGTATTGCAGGGTGCAGATCTCAGGAGTGCGTATCGTGCAGGGCTCAGGAGTTCGTATTGCGCAGAGTTCAGGGGTGAGTATTACACAGGACATGGGGCTCAGGTTGGGTAACACACCAGTACAGAGCTCTACCCATAAGCCCGAATACAGAGCTCTTCCCTCAACCCTCCACTACAAAGCTCTTCCCCCATGCCCCCAAGAAAGAGCTCTTCCCTCTCCCTCCCCCACTATAAAGCTTTTCTCCATTCCCTCCGTAGTAAAGAGCTCTTACCTCAACTCCCCTCACTACAAAGCCCCCCCCCCCCCAAGTACAAAGCTTTTCCACCAACCTTTCCCAGCAAATCACTTTGTTCTTTCTCTCAGTACTCTTTTCTCAAAATCCCCCCCAAACCAGTACTTAGCTTTTCCCTAAACCCCCCGACTGGGGGATACCCCTTAGGAAAGAGCTCTTCTCTCACCCCCACTGCAAAGCTCTTCCCTCATCTCCCCAGGTAAGAACTTTTTCCTCATTCCCTGCAACTAAAAAGCTTCCCCCCCAGAAAAGAGATCTTTCCTCATTCCCCCAGAGCTCTTCCATAACCCCCCCTACAAAGCTCCTCCCCCATCCCCTCCAGGAAATAAACTTTTCCATCAACTACTCCCCACACACACTACAAAGCTCTTTTCCCATTTCCCCCAGTACAAAGCTCTAACCTCAACCATCCTCCACAAGGCTCTCCCCTCACGTACAGAGCTATTCTACCAATCTCCCAGCTACTCACTCAGTCTTCAGTGCAGGAGGATCTGCTGCCAGGAGTCTGGGCTGTGATGTCTTGCTGTAGGACAGCCTATATTGTATGTAAGCTCAAGACAGGCATGCTTTCACTTGTTGTAAACACAGAAGCAGGCAGGAGAAACCAGCTTTTGTGTTTACAAGTGACAGCAGTGAGTAGAGGGCCAGTCCTGGAAGGTCAGTAAGGAGTACTGTCACCTTCTGGGTGAAAAAAAAAACACCAAAATTGAAGCACATTATTAGCATAGAATGGGTCATGAGGTCTTGGAACAGTAGAGGTGGCACCAAGTAGGTACGAGATAATGGGGCAGGGTGTTGTTGCTTGGGTATGTTTTAAACAACTAATGGTGCAGTGAAGGTGAAATAACTATTGGACCAGGGGTAGTAGAGATAAGGCTGATATTGGAGAGTTGTGCTGAATAATACTGTGGGGTTTACACACATGAATTTGGGATAGGGGATAAGGGGTTAAAATTCATACATTGGGAATGAATACACATGCACTACCAACGTGTCACTGAAGGGTTAATACACATGCTATATGAGCTGATCATTGGGGGGAAATGTACATACATTGCAGACAGGTCAAGGATGGTTCAACACACATAGGCTGGGGGCAGGTAACTGAGGGGTTAAAGTTACTTTTAAGCAGGTGATCACTAAGGGGTTAATGCTCATACACTGGAGACTGGGGATGAGCTGAGGTCTGCTCTGAATCCATGTTTGGCCAAACCCAGATGGAACCTGTCATTGTCAGCCCAATCAGCTACTAGGAGGGCAATCCCCCCCATCATATAGCTCTTAGTACACAAAGGGGTAGGTTGTTCGTGACCTGCCTGAGCTAATATGGCCACATAACCACCTAAGGTCAATTTAATTGATCTCTGACTGAAAAATCATACAGAGAGAGGAAAATAGGTCACTGTTCTGAGTTTTGCAGTTGTATGCAAGTTGGAGTTTAAGTTGTTGGATTCTGCAAAAAAAAATTTTTTTGACCAACCTAGCCTGGTAAATTATCCTACATGTCCAGTAAAGGAAGTTCTCAGTTCCTTTCACCAATAGTGTAGTCAATCCATCATGAAGAAATGTTTTGGCTTTCAATTTGGACAAAGAAGAACATGGTTTAAACTATCAGTATATTTTTCCCTGTGTTCTGGAGATGAGACAGGATGTGAGAGGTTATCTCTGTAAAGGGAGGGGTATTTTCGTCTTAGACAGCTGTTAACAAGACATGTGTTTCGATTTCACCCCACATTCAGTCCAGATAATAATAACGAATAGTAATGTGGAGCTTGTGTTTGGTCCAAACCCAGAAGCAAGCTGTCATTCCTGGGTCAGTAGGCTGTGGACAGGGGATCCTCTGCCCCACAGTTGCACGTACTCAAATGGGTTTGGATGGTCATGACATCATTGACCTATTATGGCCTCATGGCCATATTACTTCAATGACATTGACCTAATATGGCCATGTGTCCATGACTTCGTTGGAAGTCCAAAGTCTTTATTGTTTGACAAATAGAGCAAAAGACAGCCAATGTGATTTGAGGACCACATCATCCCCCTTCATCAAGGCTGTGTGAGATGGCAGAATGTTGGATTCAAAAGTATTCCTAAGCAGATTG